TTTTCTAAGGGAGGAAGCAACGGCCGAAAAGAAGGAGAGAGAGAGATAGAGAGAGAGAGAGAGAGAGAGAGAGAGAGAGAGAGAGAAGATGAGAGAGAGAGAGACGAGAGGAGAGAGAGAGAGAGGAGAGATATTACCTGTAAAAAAAAAACAGAAAATACGATGATAAAAAAAAAAAAATGCCGAAGAAAAACTAACAATCAAAACAATGCACTTCCTATCGCGCAACGACCCACACGTAAAGAATCACGTGTGAAAGAAAACTAAATATCCTTTTCTGCACCAACCAAAACAAAAAGAAAAAAGAAAAAAGTAATCGGAGACTGTGGTTGACTTGCCACCTTCCACTGACTCTCCCCTTCCCCCCACTCCCACCCCTTATTCCTTCCCTCCTACCCTTTATACTACAACACATGCTCCTGTCCCTTATACTACCACTCCCTTACTCCTTACACTAACCCCTCCTCCTCCAACCCTTAATGTACTCTTTAAACCTCCCATCCCTTTTACTACATCCAACCCCTCCTAACCCCTTACCACAATCCCCTAACCCTCCCCCTACACTTCCACCCTCCCCCTAGCACCCCCACCCCACCCCACCCGCCGGCCGCCCACTCGACGAGGCCCAGTAGCAGCGACGCCCCGGCAGAGCCGAGCGCCAACAACACACACCCCAACAAGTGATCACACCACCGACATCTCCCCTCAGGGCGACGGATCGGGAAGGAGGGTGAGGAAGGAGGGGTGAGGAGGGAGGAAGAAGTAGTGGGGAGGAAAGGGGTGAGGAGGGAGAAAGGAAGTGTGGGGAAGGAAAAAGGATTGGTGGGAGGAGAAGGATGGAGAAAGTGGAACGGAGGAAGAAAGTGTGAGAAAATAAGAAGGAGGAAGGATAGGGAGAGAGTGCAAGACGGAGAGAGGGAGGAGAAGAGAAAGAGAGAAAGAGAAGAGAAAGTGAATCAGAGAGAACTTAACACGAGGACAACGCAGACCACACACACACACCACACACACACACTCCTCTTCCTGCAAGATACCAAACCCCTTAGCATATTGATTTAGCACTTCTCGAAAACCGACTCTGCGCCAGACGGTTGTTCGCATTCCTTTCGAAAAAAAAAAAAAAAAAAAAAAAAAAAAAAAAATCGGGGGGGGGGGGGGCGGGAAGCGCTGCATCCTCACAATCATCCCAAAAATTACACCCAATCCTCGCACTCATCCCCTCATCCCTCACCCCCCCCTCCTCCTCCTCACAAACCCGCGCACCCCGCAGCCATCGCTCCGTCATTAATCAAGAGTAAATCAACTTACCCCATTAATTCGAGGAGCAATCTGCTTAATTAAGACCCACCTGCATCCTGCGATTAAGTCTTATGCTCGCAAAGCCGGGAACCGTTCGATTTAATACGCCTTAATGGCAACGCAAATGGCTCTTTATGGGCGTTCTTCTCCTCCTCGTAACCTGCTTTCCGGGCGCCTTCGGTTCCGCTAAATGTCATTCTTTTAAG